CATTGCAACAGCCATTTTCATACCTATTGCATCAGCCTATTTCATTAGCCATGCTCAATGTTCTTCTGCATATATTGCATCAGCCAATTTCAATACATTTTGTTTAAAATTAAAAATTAAAATTTTTTTAAATGTTCAATGTGTAATTTAATTATTTATTTTGTTTGGAAAGCACTTTCTTGCTATTTCGTAAAGCTTTGAAATATTTTCTAAGTGAGACTTTTTTTATGCGGTCCCTCTCTACCGCATAAAAAAAATTTTCTTTAATATGCTGTGAAAAATTATTTCTTATAGCTATTTATGAAGTTTTTGAATATTTTTTTTGTGCGGTTTTTTTTCTGCGGTCCCTATCTACCGCACAAAAACAGGTTTGCCTGTATTTGATTTGAGTTACAAAGTTGTTGCAATTATCACCCCCACGTTTCTACATAGAGGATAAGTTTGAGCCGAAAATTTTAAGAACTTCTATGCATCGTGTTCCGGTTTGTATTGTGGAAAGTGTGAAGGAATAAGAGGATGATATACGTCGGATATGCAGATAATCAATTTGTTTACCTATCTATCTATAGCGAACGTAACGAAATTCAAGTTTTAACTGAACTTGAATTTCAATAGAAATTTTCTTAACCTACAAACGTGGTTAACACTATGACTATATAATGAATTTTGAAATGTCACAAAGGAACTGGAAGAAAGGTCGCTAAACAACTTTAGATAAGAATCGAACGCCATTCACTAAAATGCCTTTGAAAATGTTCTAATGGTTTTATTAATTCAAGTGAAATTCTTTTTGCGGTTTGTATGAAGGTTTTTTTTTTGTGCCCGAGAATCGATCGTATATTACATATATATATATATATATTCAGCATTCTGAAAATGCAAAAAACTTTTATAAAAATAATAGCAGCAGCCAAGAGGTATTTCACGGTATGTTTATACCCTACACCAGTTGCGGTACAGGGTATGTTAAGTTGGTGTGAACGTTTGTAACACCCAGAAGGCCTGAAGATAAACCAACCTTTCATTATATCGATGGATTCAGAATCAAATTGTAAATCGCTCCAAGCATGTCTGTCTATCCATATATTTTTACGTTCAAGCTGCAGGTCGCAATTGTTGAGATATTTTGATGAAATTTAGTACGTAGACGTACTTTTGGCCCAAGAACGAGCCCTATTGAAAATGGCTCGGATCGCTTCACTTTTTCGACCTCTTCGCCCTATTTGCAACAGTCGTTACATAGGGAAAATTTCTCGGTTACAAATTGGTGTGAAAATTTTAGGCCGGTTGGGACAATTTTTTGGATCTCCTGCTCATATAACCGTTTATACGGAAATCGGAGCTTTAGAGTGAAAATAAGCTCATAATAGTTAATTGCCAAAGAACTCTACCTTCTACTCACGTAGGACACCAACATGCCTTTATATGTCAAAAAAGCCTAATTGGTTTTTTTTTTAAGAACATTTTTTTATGATGCTCTTATATGGACGGAAAATCTAAACTGCCCATAGCACATGGGCTTTCATTGCAATAAAAGCCTTGCGGGAAAGTAATAAGTACTTTTTTTAGTATTATTACTAAAACGGGCGAATAATTGTACAAGACGAAGTGGTGTAGGGTATGTAATTGTCGGTGTTGTCCGATTAAAATGTTGCTTTATTTGGATTTTACAAACAATTCGTTGAAATCGTTTTTAAGATTTTTTAAGAAACCTTCTGATCTAATGTTTATTTATATGTGGAGAAGACAAAATTTATCCACTGTTAGTTAAAATATATTCACTTTAAATAGGTGAATAAGCAAGCAACCCTTTATTTTCAATGAGAAATGCATTGTAAATACTTGGAGAAGCCTAGTTAATAATAATATAAAAAAAAAAAAAAATAAATAAATAAAGCGGGAAGTAATTGGTTCCCACGCTATATGATTACTATGAACACATACGCATAGTTATGCATACAGAAGCAATTACTTAATATCCTGCATTTTAATCCCTATACAACTTCAAGTAGAAACGCGTTTAATAAGCATTAAAAAAAAAAAAAAAAACAATGGAATTTCTTTAATATTCAAATGCCGCTAAAGAAAAGAAGAAACCATATGCACGAAATGCAAAATCCTGTACAAGAGGGAGAAAATATATTAAGTATTGTCAACGTAAAGGGAGGATTATTTTTAAAGCTGCTTCTTTTCGCCGTAGCAGGGAAAAGGATACCAACGAAAACAAGTGTCTAACCTTGTTTTTGAAATAAAAAGGAAAATAATACTAATAATAATAATAATAATAATAATAATAATAATAATAATGATTGTAAGCAGGTGTTAACGCTTAGATATAATGAAGGGAAACCGAAGTAGGAGAAAAGCTGTTATCCCTTACCAATAGTAACGATGCCGAAGGAAAATGTGGAAATGGAAAAATCCTGTACACGACCACAGTTCTTATATTAAACAGTTAATAACATTTTTCGTATTTGTAGGCGTGTTTGTAGTCGAATTCATAAAATTTGCTTTTTTTTGATTTATAAATCTATAGCGATCATATTTTGATTTACAAAACTATACACATATACAAGAATTTCGGCAAAAACCAATCAGTTATGGATGGATGGACAGTACATTTATTATTTAATATATAATTTTCGTATATTATAGACGAAACGTCACGATTAGTATAACTACTTTTTGATAGTATCTAAAGTAAATATGAAAACATATGCCGAATTCAAAAAGTACATACATATAAAAGAAAAACAAAAACAAAAAAATGTAGGTCAGAATTTCGATTTAGGGTTAAAAGTAAAGGAACAGAAGAAAAAAAGAAAGAATGTTGTTTTTGTGATTCATACATGACGATGATCATGTTAACGACAAAAACGAGTGCCAATTAGGTAAAGGCAACAAAAGCAAAGAGAACAAGAACAACAACAACAACAACGACAGCAAAATCACAGAAATATCACATAAATATATATATATATATATATATATATATATAGATGTAAGAAAATCAGAATAAACGCAGCTGGCCTAACCGTAAATCCGGAAGCAAGTAATAAACGCCAGCAAAAACAATGTGAAGGTCATTCTATGTGAAAGTGCATGCATAAGTTAAACGCAAAAGCCAGGAATGGCTAATAATTCCAAAAAAAAAAAAAAAAAAAAAAATTTTAAATACAACAAACTGTGTTTTTAAGAATCCGGAAGTAAATACACATTTAGATAAAAATTACTTCCGTTTTCATTTTATATCGAATTATTCCGTACGTCCCTATAAGTCTTATGATGTTCTTCTTATTAATGCGGAAGTAAATAAAACACACAACGTAAGGCTTATTGAATATTAGTTTTTGTTGCCTTAACAAATACATTATACTTATGGATGGATATCCTCGTTGGAAAATCAAATCAAAAGAAATCTTTTTGAAACCTGTTTCGCTTATCAACTAAACATAAGTAAACGAAAAGAAAATAAAAGAAAAGAGAAGAAAAGAAAAAAGTCTTCTTTTAAATAGGAAAACAAAGGCGATAAATATTGAATAACAAAGAAGAAGAAGAAGAAGTAGAAAAAGTAGAAAACCTAAACAAGTGTGCCAGAATGTGTCCTAAAATCCTGCCAGATATAATAAATCATTTCCGGACTTCCGGTTAAATCATGTTTTGTAAAATGAATAAATAGTTAGCAGTAGGGATGAAGGTTGCTGTTGCTGTTGCTGTTTGTGTTTCTTTTTTTTTTTTTTTTTTTTTTTTTTTTTTTGTTTTATATATGAAAGTGCGAGACAGGTGTTGTAATAATTGCTGTAAGAGGATTTCTTAGGATTGCATTGTATGCGTTAGGAGAGGTAAAGGTTTTGGTCGAACATGACAAATCTCTTGAATGTTAAGCACTTCCGGAATCGAAGACCTGATCTAGCTCGATACACTATTACTGGCGACTCATGCTCATAATCAAATAAATTAAATTTCTATTTGTAGAAAGCAAACAAAAACTAAGTATTAAATTTCATAAAAAATATAATAAGGAAAGATGACATCGCGATAACTATTTCGATTTTCGATGAAAAGACCATCAAGAATTGAGTTCTTCTTATTATGAAATATTTATTTATGTTTATTTATGTACGCCACTTGTGGTACAAAGGTATATTAAGTTAATGGTAAGTATATATGCATTAGTCAGGAGGACTTGAAAGATTTACCCACCATTCGTTATACCATACGACTTGTCTGTCACTCTGTCCGTTTATCCGTTTGTCCGTCTAACCACCTTGTATTCAATCTACAGGCTGCAATTTTCGAATAATTTTGATGAGATTTGTTACATTAACGTGTTTCGTGTTTCGTCGAATGCTATTAAAAACAGTTCCGATTGGATCACTTCTCCTATAGAATCTTATTTGAAAAGAAGTCTTTCTATTTGCTAGCTTGATGAAGGGTATTTAATGACGGTTTATGCCTCAGTATGACATTTTCATTTTTCAATTTTTACTCAAAATAGTTACATTCGGAAAACCCTAATAATTTACTTCTTCTGTGAATTATTATCGCTTCGGTTATGGGTCGAATATTTGCATAAAGCAAGCAGCAGAGTTCTGCTTATGTAACTGCAAATTATTGAATGATATATAAAAGAAATAAGTGAAAATTAATTTAAATTATTTTTTCATAGTACGTGTTAACGACTACCGGCATTACGTACATATATCGTAACGATCGTTGCTAAATATGCGCTTGAGTATCTTAAATAAAGGAAACAACGATGGACGCCAATGAGACTTATATAGCTTACGTCTAAAATTCCATTAACTGAACGTAAATCTACATTGCAATCGCAATTGACGATTGTTATGTTAAGTTTAGGTCATCGCTTCTAGCTTATGAAATCGTTCATCCATTTATTTTCTCATTTCGTATTTTAATAGAGTTTCGTTAAAACTTTCATGTTTATAGATGAAATTATTTTGAAAATTAATTAAAATTTGAATTATCCTTACTTGCAGGACTCTGAAGGCGACTTGCCAGTGTGCGCACCATATGCTGTTTGTTCGAAAATAGATCTTTATGAGACGCCTTGGATAGAGCGCCAGTGCCGTTGTCCCTATAATAATAGATCGCCGGAAATAGTTATACATCATCATCATAAGGACCCTCAACATGTCAATCATAATAATGAAAAATATCACAATTATTATGAGCATAATCGAATGCTACATCCGTCAAAGCATTTATTGCTTACGGGAGATTTTACCGACAAAAAATTTGACAATTTACATTTGAAGAAGCTAATGCATAAACTGGGAGCCGTCTATGAAGATGATTTGCATTTCGCGATGAACGATTACGGTATAATCGATGAAGAGAACTCTGCCTTGCCGGAATCTGAGGAGAAGAGTGCTTCTTTTTATAAGGACTATCATGAAATGAAAGAATATGGAACGGAATATGGCTTAGGAAAATTGAGAAGATCGCATCTTCATAACAACAACATGGCTCATATGCGTCATTCGGGTCATATAAATGCTCATCAGGCGATAACATATATTGGCGGTTGTCCAAGCGGTTTAGGTATAGAGGATGGTCACACCATAGCCGATAAGACGAGACATTATAAAATGTGCCAACCAGTACATAGACTGCCAGTGTGTAGGTAAGTAAATTTCTTTTTTTGCTTTTTCTTCTTCTTCGTCTTCGCTGGTATTAGAAGTAAATGTTTTATTATGTATTTTCACTTTGCATCATACAATTGTAGACATTTTCGTGATTACACATGGACTCTGACCACTTCGGCCGAATTAAATACAACCGAACAAATAGTACATTGCCGTTGCCCCAAAGCTTCGGTAACCTATTTAACTAAACGGGAACCCTTAGAAGATGGCGTTCTCGGATATCGTTATCTATTCGCGTGTTCTCCTTTAACGGTACTATAAGAATGAAATAATTTAATTATTAATGTGTGTATTTATATTTTTAATGCAATTTAATTTTTCTAATTTCTATTCTTAGCGTCTACGATGTCAACGAAAACAACCTTGCAAATTATTTACGGTACGAAAACGTCAAGAATTCATTGATGAAGTTAATATAAATTCATTGTGCCAGTGCCCGAAGGGTCATCATTGCCCGACACATCACACTCAGTCAGGCGTTATAGCCGGCGAAACATTTTTAGAAGATAATATACAAACTTATTCAGGCTATTGCATGGCTAACGATTGATTTCAAACACATTTACTAATCTAGGCATTTTATTATACCTTAGGTATTCTGGATTAAGTTATGTTTTTATTTTTCATTTTTCATTTTTCATTTTTCATTGTTTATTTTATTTTATTTTTTTATTTGTTTTTGTAGCAATGTAAAACAACAAAAATAGAGAAAACATTTTGAAAAGGTTCAAAATCTTCAATTTAAAAAAAAACAAATAAAATATTGATGTGCCGAAGCTATTTACAGCTACTATTGCTAGCTACTGTTACTACTATTTACTTATTATGCTTAGATATCTATTGTAACGACCAAGCCATTGAAGTCTTGTTTAAATATATAAAGTCAAAATGATTCGATTTAAGTCGAACTTTTTTAAAGGCCTGCCTCTCGCCCTCCCTCACTGTCAACGTTATAACATTTTCTCTATAGTCAGTTATTATATCGAATATACATGGTGACGTATATATGGAATGCTACTGGGACTCTTGTATAGCGTATCTATCAGTACAAAAAAATGTCTTTTTACAAAATCCACAAAAAAATTTTATGCGCCTTGAGGAGAATCTGAAAGTATCCACCAGTTTAAGTAAATATACAGCAGTCGAAAAATCTTTTTTTTTTTTTTTTTTTTTTTTTTTTTTTTTTTTTTTTTTTTTTTTGTTAAAGGGAGGCATGTCAGTGCCGCGATTTTGGTCAGTCATCGTAAAAAGTTCCTTATATTTGCTATAAGCTGTAAGTTAAATTATCAACATTCAAAATGAAGTTTTAATTAATAAAAATTTCCAAATTTCCATTTTATGGTACTTATTATCTTTTTTATACCCATCACCAAAGGATGCGTGGTATATTTGTAGACTCAGAAGAAAATATCAGAGATCCCACAAAATATATATATTCTTGATTAGCATTAAACTCTGAATCGAGTTAAGCATGTCCGCCTATTTATTTAACAGTCCACCTGTACATCTGTGCATTGTCTATGGCAAATATCCCTCCGACCGTAGATATGAATCGAAATTTTGCAGAACCATTGAAAACTCTCGCACGTAGGTTGGTACCGAGGAACCCGTAACTACGAACAATCATTAGTCATAAACTACAACAGATAAACGTAAAGGAATTGGCGAGGCTGCAGTACTTGAAGAAAAATAGGAAAAATCGACCACGCCTACTCAATGTTATAATGTATCAAAATTCAGTTTTTTTTTTTTTTTCAATACCTTTGTAATGCGCGGAAGCAAGCATTCGCAATGCATCTAAGCATGTCCATCTGTACGTCGTCCAAACTATGGAGTCTCTATGGTAAACATTTTCCCGTTCGCAACAAAATTTGGAAATTACTTAAACCGATCAGAAGATACGCCTGCAACGTCCACATGCTTATGCAACAAGAACTGGGAATACCTTTGCTTGCCGTGTTTTTTGGTTCTTACTCACAGGATGCAACACATACACCATGTCAGTTTGAACTTTTATTCTGAAAATGGAGAAAATCAGTCACGCCCATCCAATCTTATAGAGAATTCTCTCTTTTTTTTTTTTTTTTTTTTAGGCTTTTTTAGGATAGCGGTGATGAGTATAAAAGATTCGGTCACCATCGAATATAATTTTCCTACTAGTTAGGTGTGGTGAGCTTTTCTTGAAACGAAATCCTATCTGTTTCGATCTATATGCGAAGAATTTCATCAAAAATTTATTTATTAGATTTTAATGTCTTATCTCGCTTTTTTGGCAATAAATGGACAAATAGATGGATTTAAGTGAAACCACTTGAAAGCTCATTGCATTAACTCGCACATATTGTATATATTAAGATCTTTTTTATGGGCTGTTATGGATGATAAAATATCAGTGAAATAATTAGCAATCTATTCTGTTTATTTGTGACGCGGTACCAGCTTTCATATAATTTGTTGCGCATTGTAAGATTTTTTATGAATGCAAATTGTCACTTGTTTATGGAGAAGTGACTTTTACTTTCTATAAACTTTTTGATTGATCACTTTAAGCAAATAGCTTACGGGTATTACTGGCTGACTGTGGGGTCAAACACAATCAATCGAATCAATCGATCGAGAGCTGAAATTTGACACCGTGAACTGAAAATAGACATGATCCGCTCATAAACATAACGGCAATAACCGCGTCCACAACAATATATGGAACGAGATTTAAAGTTTCATACGACAAGTGAATACATGAATACAAAATTAATAAAAAAAAATAATTCATTGCAAAAGCAATTCTGGTCGCTTCATTGATAGACTTCAAGAGACTTTAAAAGCTATACACATTTACTTGATGAGATGGTGGATATTAGAGGTTCCCTTTTCCCCTTTTAAAGGAATAAAGCTAACGAAAACGTTCTTTGGGCAGTCGCCAGCAGTTCATTATCAAATTATATTTTGTGGATAGATAGATACATAGATAGAAACGCCAAGAGAACTTATCGGCAAAACTACATAAGTCTTAAAGAGTTCTTTAAAATATATTTTCAATCATTGCACACAGATTAGTACGACAGTGTCAATATATATATAAGTTTAAAATAAAGTTGAAAGCGTACTTGTAGTGAAGCTAAAAAGAAATCTATACACAAAAAACAAAAAAAAAAAAAAAAAAAAAACACAAAAATCAAATATTTATTTATAAATAAATAAATTATTTATTAAGCTAAATTAATGACATGTCTATGTAAGTTAAAGGACGAAAAGAAAATAAATAAATAAATAAATAATAAAAAAATAGAATTAGGATAAAAAATAAAATAATCTTTAAGGAATTAATTTTTTATAAAGGGGATAACTGCTATGAACCGTTTTTTTAACAATGCCTTTACAAAGAACTCGATTAGCTTACAAATTTAAAAAATTGAAAAAAAAAAAGGAAAAAATAATTTCAAAATCTTTAAATAAATCATTTTTATAAAGCACAAGCCTGCCCTGGGTTCCTTAGGCTATCTGTTTTTAAATATTTTTTCCTTTCCCTTTCTCTTTCCTTTCCTTAACTAGTTCAGCCGTAAAATTATTTATGTAAATATATAATCAAGTATGTCAAGTACAGTTATTTTAATTTTTGTATAAAAAGAAAAAAAAGTACTAAATAAATAAATCAAGAAAAAGAAAAAGGAAAAAAATGTATTATTGTACAACTCAGACAACTTTAAGGAAAATTAAATTTGAGTGCCACTCATTGCGATTGGTGCGAATAAAACAAAACACATCTATTATTATAACCCGTAGTAATAAATGAAATAAATGAACAAAAATTCTGAAATTACACATGCATAAACACGTACACACACTGATACAAATATAAATAAAAATTTGTTAATAAAATATAATAAAAATATCTTTGATTTCTGGCAAAAGCATTTATCACAATAAAAAGATGGATGAGCAACTTGCCACAAAGCAACTACAACTAATTGATTAAGCATTCACACTACATGATAGCATTTTAAAAGTATTTCCATGCGAATGTTTCTCCCTATTCGAGGGTCAAGCCTTAAATTTGACGATTCGACAAAATCGCGATTATCCGATTAATAGCAAAATAGGGCTTCAAACGAAAGCCAAAAACGTAAAGTCAAACTAAACTATTTCCTCTTGTAAGCTGTTGAAAAACAATTTTTGAATATGTTAATCGACTTAAGTTTTGTTAGCTAAAAATTACTCTTCCTCAACATCCTTCCCATCAAAGCGGGAGTTCTTCGTTTCTGTGAAACTAGAAACAGAATAGAATGCACTGTGCTCTCATGTGATTGACTCAATTATACGATTATTAGAAATAATGACATATTGAAAATATATAAATCAATTTCTGATGAGTTTCAGTCCTATTGTGAGCAATAGTTACAGAGTTAGCTTCACTGGCTAGTGGCTAGTGTTTAATTAAGACCTTTCCTTCAGAAAAAAGGAGACTGCAACGAGAATGACTTGCGATCGTTGACTAGGTCAGAATATATCCCTTAGATTACGGTGTCTAATTTTTCCTTTCTTTTTTTTTTTTTTTTGTTGTTGTAAAAAGATGCTTCAAATGAAAATCTTAGTTAAGAAACTACCAAGGCACTTTATCCAACCGCCTTAACCTATGCTTCTTTTTTTAGTGTAATAATAAGTTATTATAAAGGATTGTTTTTGTCTCTGCTAAGAGAAGAAAGATTCAAAAAAAAAAACGCAAAATTCACGTTTGCGTAAAATTCAAAGATAATCAAATTATTTTAAACAAAACGTTGGCGGAAAAAGAAAATTTCGATTGATCCGAATACACTCTTTCTCCGTTTCTGTCTTCTCTCTCTAGGGGAAAAGTGACAGAGCAAATTCTACGAATCTAATGCACACGATCTAGGAAAACGTTTAAGGCTGATCGTTAAATTCAGTTTATATTGATCTCTTAGTTTAGTGCAACACGAAACGTCTTCACTTTCACTTTAGCTTTTACCTCACAAACACTCAAATTTTTTTTTTTTTTGTAACAAATGCAGTCTTTCCCAGTACGTAAGTACTATGTAATTTAATGTTAGTGAACGTATATTAATAAGAAGCTACGATTTTTGCTTTAATTAATTGCAAAAAAGGAGAAAATTTTTCTGCAGGGTCTCGTCAAATTTGGAGGATGTTAGAAGAAGATTTCCGAAAATTTCGTCTCACGATTACATCTTCATTTTGATACCCGCCACAGACACCACAGCAAAAATGTTAAAACGTTTGCACTCATTAGAAGGAATCCTCAAGGACCGCATAAATATATAAATATATGTATGTATATATTTACTTTTGATCAGCAGCAAGTTCTGATTCAATGTAAGCATGTCCGTCGTTCCGTCTAGGTATTGCCTTTTGGCCGCAAACACAAAACTATCGGCTGAACATGCGCAAAATTGGAACACATTCACTTGCGAACCGAGCAAATAAAACTATAAAAAATTACGCGGACATTCTATGGACTGTCTTGTAGTATTTGTATGAAAATGAAAAGAAAAAATTCAGCCACACCCATCCAATATTATGATGGGCCAAAATCTCATTTGTTTGTCAAAAGCTTTGTAAAGCCGAGAAGCGATTTTCAAAAACCCAATTAAACATAATGCATTCTTGACCAATGTCAAAT